GGAGGAGAGCGATGCAAATGAGCAGAGTCCTGGTCACAATGCTCCATGTCTTCAGTTTGGTGGTGGGTGCACATGTATTCATTTTATTATTCTTATATTACATCTACATAAGACATATCCTTCCGTAGGGATAAAATATTTAATATAAAAATATTTGAAAAGAACTTACAATCTAGAAAAGAAGTATATCAATATTAAACTAATCATAATGTAATGTGTTAAAATGCTATCCTAGTGGTATGAACAAAGCATCATCGGAAGAAAGAAGAGGATTTGATTCATTTTGCACTTTAAGAGAATGGATGAGGAAAGGCCATTAAGGCTTTCTACAGCATGAGACATCTGTATCTGAGATGGGCTTTGAAGGATGATCAAGATTTTGTCAATCAAGACTGAGGAAAAGGCATTCCAGACAGATAGTACAACACAAGCCAAAGGTACATGTTCTCACAACAGAGCTGGTAAGCTGATGCTGAATGGATGAGTGAGCAGACAGATCATATGAAATGTTCAAGGACAGATGAGTGGCGAGATGACAGTGTACCGGCGTAGGGAGATGATTGCCTTGAGAGAAAAAGGTAAGAGGGGCCAGAACACTGCACCGAATCAACCTAAGGAGTTTAGGTTTTATTCTTCAGGCAATGAGGAGCAGTGATACGTGGAAAGGAAGAAGAACAATGTAATCAGGTCTGTATTTTTGAAAGCCTATCCTGGAAGTCCATGCACTACGAGCTAAGAGAGTGAAAAAATTTAAGAGATTAAGCAAAGCATTTGGGAGGCAGGTTCCTGCAACAGCACAACAGTCAGTGACGAAAAGGGGCTGAGTGTGGACAGGTAGAGCAAATCAGAGAGATGCAGATGGATTCAGAAGATGGTTCAGGGGTTGAACTGAGAAGACAGCATAAACTGTCCTGTGGGATGGAGTCAAGAACAAGTTCCAAGTGCCTAGCTTGCTGACTCAATGACTATTGACTAAGATAGAAAACATACAGAGAAGCTGCTCTGAAGGAGGAAAAAAGATGGTTTTGGTTTGGGCGCTTTGATCTGAAATCCCAGTGGAAACTTCTAGTTAAGATGTCTGGTAGGAAATAGGACTGAAGCCTCGGAATGACATGCAGGTTAAAGAGAAAGATGTTGGGAAACCCAGGCATCAATGATAAACGAATGGCGGGAGCAGATGAGATCCTAAGGAAAGCGTGTACAGCGTGAAGAAGAAACAACGCAAGCCCAGGCCCAGAGGAGAGGAGCAGTCTGCGGGCGGCGGAAGACAGCTATCTGAGTGGTTGGATTTTATCTGCTCAGGTTCAAGGGTTTTGGTTTAGGAACTTCACATCCTATCCAACCGGTGAACCAATGGTTTTACTTACTTATTTCTTAGACCTCCCCAACTTCCCAAAGAGACTTTAGTACCTTTCTCTCATCTCTGAAACAACATCTTCTACGTGAAATCATATCCTTCCTCGCGTTGGGAAAGCTTTTCTGAATTACTTTCTGTATTAGGGAAGCAATACTTTACCTTATAAATTACAAGGTCCTTGAGTCCTTGCTACTGTACTCTCTATGTCTGTTTCTTTTTTCTTTCCCATTTATACAAGGAACTTGAGGCACTTAAATAGGGTCAAAAATTAAGTTCAGTATTTGTAGGCAGGGACACATCTGACTAAATATAATTCCAACTGATAAGATCTTAAACTCCAAAATAAATTAATTTACAATGAATTTATTATATAAAAATAGCCTCTAAACAAAATTTAGCTAACTTATATGATAAAAAGATGGGGAAAATAAAACAAATATAAAGAGATAAAACAGCAAGGACAAAAAGATATAGTCGTTCACATCTATGAATTCAAACGATTTCAAACAAAATTTAAGAATTATATACAATTAAGCTAAAAATAATCAAATAGGTAAAATAAGGTACATATGGTTCAAATGACTCAAAAATCTTTAAAATTGATTGCTGTATGTAAAAGATCTTCCCTGGATATATATAAAAAAAAGAAGTTGCTTTCTTCCCACCCCCATGTTGGAATTTCTAAAAGAGATTTAGGGGCTTAAAATAAAAATCTCTCATCAAGAAGCTAATGCCAGACTTGTTGAATGATTACAGTCCCAAGTCTTTCAACAATCTGCAATTAGACAAACTCTAAATTAGATGTTTGCTTTTTAAAGACTGGGACAGGCTAAAAAAAGCAATTTATATATGTACAAAAATTCCTTGGAATTATATAACTACAGCTACCACAATAAAATTATATGCTAATGTATATTAACCACACAGCTCTTGTTTTCCCTTCTCAAAGGTCTCAAAAAATTAATGACTTGTGGCAAAACTCTGTATTTCCTTCACCCTTCAAGTACTTTTAAAAGGAACTCTTCTAGAACATAATCAATGAACATATGAAAAAGTGTTACCCTATCAAATAGAGAAAGGCATGCAAATCAAAACATCAGGAAAGAGTATTTTTACCTATAAATTAAAAAATTATAATCAGCAATGTTGGCCAAAATGTGATGAGACCAGCTTCTGAAAAGCAATCTGGCAATATTTCCCAAGAGTCTTTGGAGCCCTAACTCTACTTCTAGGAACCTACTATGAGGACGTAATAAGAAACGTGATCAAAGATTATTTTCACCTCTCAGTGACAACAGCAACAAAAATTAACTTTAAGGTTCTCAGCGAGGAACAAGTTAAAAAGGGAAAAGGTACATTCACATTAACAAATATTATAAAGCCACAAAACTCATATTTATAAAAATATTTAATAAATGGAAAAGTGCTTACAATAGAACAGTCAATAGAAAAAGACACACTCAATATAAATGGAATTCAGAAATATGTTTCATATTTTTTATAACATATATAGATATAGGAATATGGTATATATAGGTATAGGTAACATTATAGATAAAATACTGATTACTATATATACTAAAATATGACAGTGTTTATCTTTGGTACATTACAGGCGATTTTTAAAAATTTTTTTTAGACTTTTCAGTATTTCTCCTTTTTAAAAATATTGATTGAGTCTTTCTTTCATAAGTAAAAAAAAAAAAAAAAATGCATGACTAGAAAAAACATGTCCAAGACTTGAGAAAAAGCGAAATGGAACTGGCAATGCAAATGGAAATGCACACAAATGGCAGGACGCAGAACCCTTAGCAAACCCCCAGACCAGTTCTGGAAGGAGAGCTAAGAGAATGTCCAGTGTCTGGTGACACCAAGTTAGGAGCTCACAGTGAACTATTATCTCCCAGAGCAGGAACAGAGCCATAAAATGGATAACAACAGTTTCTGGGATCTAGGCCTCTAGAGTTATCGGTCCTTTGAAAAGGGAACTATGAAAAACAATGACAGTTGGCAGCCTTTTTCCCTTAATGCAAGAAATATATTCTACCTGGTTGGCATCATGAAATTAATGAATTCACTCCTAATAAATAGAATCAGCACAAATGCTATAACTAAATCTAGTTTACTGTCTATTCATTTAATACACAACTGAATGATTTCAAAATATTCAATGGTCAATTTAAAAATTCCAAATTCAGAGTGTGAAAAATAGTCCACTATTTATTTTAAGCTGTACCCCCAGATCCTTCTTGTTACCTTGATGTCTCAAAATGATCTAGACAAAAGCTAGAAAGATATCAAAGCTTATTTGTATGTTGTTTACACTCTGCTTCCTAATCATATACTGAAGCAATGGATAGTTCCTACTTAAACTTGGTAAAAACCTAAAGAAAACTAAACTTACTGCTTCTGTTATACACAATTCCTAATCATTTCATATAATTTTAAAATGATGAAAATTTTCTCCAGTAAACCTATTCATGTTATTATTGTTATTGCATAAAAACAAAGTGTCTACTTTCTATAAACACTAACTTCTCACTGCAAGAGAGCACCTTACAATTCTCAACACAAAAATTTCTGGAAATAAACTCGACATTTGGCCCTACAATCTTAAGTCACAACATTTCTCATCAGGATGATTAATCTTTACGAAAAGGCAGGAAAACAAGACAGAGCCACCCACTTTGACATTTTCATTCTTCGAAAAAAAAAATCCCAATCTAGTTCATGAACTAGAACCATCACTTATAAAAAGTATGCAATCCATCAAGAGTACTTTTTGATTTTAAGATTAACAAGATCATTATCTTTCCTATTCTTTGCACTGAGAAAACTGTACTGACCTTATAAAGTGGTTCTAGCTTAGTTTTACTTAGAAATCTGATAAACCTTTGCCCAGGAACCAACCAACCTTTAATAACAAGGTTACTTCATTTTTTCTTTTCCAGCTTACTTGAGAAAATATAAACAATGTATAACATCTAAAGTAACCTACTCCATTGATTTATACAGGCCTCATTTTTGTCCAACCTTGCTACATCCATGGATTGTAGAGTGGAAAGTCTGTATTTTTCAACTAAGATAACAAGCATCCTACAGCTGTTTTAAGCCAGTCTTGAGTGTGCATGCATGTGTGTCTATGTGTACGCATGCTCAGGGAGTAAAGCAGAAGCACCACTGTGGCCATGTGGAGCCGGAGAGAGGAAGACGAGGGCTGAGCAAGCAGGAAGAGGCTTTCCTGCAGGCGCAGGGAGCTCACTGCAGGCTGCAGGCAAAGGCTTGAACCTGAAAGAGGCCAAATCTGCACTGATTCTTAAGGATGTGGGTTTGCTGGCTTTCTCTCCTTATTTTCTTCCCTCCCTTCTAAACAGCTTAGGTAGGGAGTAAATCAGCTCTAACTCTGAGAAAGCTTTGCTCTAGAGAAAAGAAGAGAGTATTAAATTAATGATTCAAGGTGAGTTATGAGGAGGGGAATCACTCCAAGACAGGGACGGGTGAAGATGGGGAAGGGATGTGAATGTGGGAGGGCGAGCCGAGCGAGAAGTGTAGGGAAGCAAAAGAAAGAGGGAGCTGAGAAAAAAACAGTCTGGAAACTAAGCGGATAGAATAACCAACTTGTCCATTAACATAATCCATTCACCTGTGTTATTTTTTCTATGCCCTGGAAGTTGTGCTTTTCAAAATGTTCCGCAATATTTAGGAAGGTGTGACGCTCCAGGTAGCAGCAATTACTGAGGACTATCAAAAGCCGCTGTTCCTAAAAACAAAACAAATGTTTAGAAAATTACATTTATGTAACTAATCGAGAGTCTAACAGCACTTATCACTCATTAAATTTAATTATTACGTCTTGGTGTTTATCAACTTCAACACTTTGTTTTTCTTGGCTGCTTCTTTCCCAATATTAACAGAGAAACATAATACAATTCTATAATTTCACTTACTGCTCGTTATCACATAATACACTAACGAGTCAAATAATGTTCCCTTTGAAATTTAACAGCTGTATGGAAAAACATTGATGAAACACAGTTAACTAGTAAAGTAGGATCAGCTGTTGTTCTTTTGAAAGGGGGTTCTACTTTGTCATTCTACTTAATACTTTGTGCACAAAAAAATCTATAAATAGATATTTTAAAATAATTACAAAAATGTATAAACTCTTAGAAATTAATTTATAAATTTTCATAACTTGGAAGAGAATTAAAATGCCATCCGTATGTTGTGATCCTTCGAAACCTTTGGGTCTCCACGGCCTTTTTTATGTAGAACAGTCTGCCTCTTATGGGGAGTGGGGGAGAGAGGAGAGGAGACTCCCCCAGTGTCAGTCATGGAGAGAGCTGGAGCCCACATTCCACACTCTCCAGGGTTCTAGCCGCTTAAAGTAACTTCTTATCAAAATTACCAGAACCCAGTGCTGATGCATAAAACATCCTTTTACAGTTCAGAAGAACTATTTTATAAATAAAATTCCAGGAACGGCCTTTGTCACTGCCGCTGTGGCTCACCGAGAGCACGTTCCCCGGGCTCCTCAGGTGTGGGAGAGAGTATTCTCTGGAACAACTGTGACTAATTTAGGGTCTTGATTTAAGATCCCTTGACTAAAAGCTAAGGCAAAAACCACTTTCCAGGAAAAGTTCTCACCCATATTTTGCTCACTGTTTTGTATATAATCAAATAACCCACGTTAAAGTCAATAAAATAAGTGTGGAAATAAACAGGTCTCAGTTCTCTGAGGTACAGGAACCACTGAGGAACTACATATACTCTGTGAGCTCAACTGCCAAGCATAGCTTTTCATCTCCCCAAAACTTCATTTTGCTCATCAAATTTTTTGAAACTTTCTCAATTTCTTTATTTTAAATGTTCCTAACTTTATTTCTGGCAGAGCATAGCCTTATCCACTGCCTCTCTTGGTCATCAATAAATATAATTAAAAGGCCAAGGAATTATTAAAGTACCTTTGAACAAATGAAAGGTTGTTAACGGCCCTGAATTAACCTATGGATGGGAAATGGAGTATAAAACAAGGTAAATAGGGCTACGGCATGTATCCTACTCCACATTTTGTGAAGAAATGGCAAGCGAGAAAGCCAAAGAGCAAGCAGTGAACGCCCTGGAGAGGGCGCAGGCAAGGCTGGGGGAAAGGAGGCCACATCCGCTCTTGTGTGGAGTTCCTGTTCTGTGGTCCTTGTAAAGTACATGAAATAAAGTCAATGTAATGTTTCATCAGCCACTCTAAACATGCTGCACCCTTCAAAAATCTCAGCTGGTTTCTCAGTTATAAAAGAAATCCTTAGTCACCTTTCCTTCAAGAGTCTGCCTCCAAACATCAGCCTCATCTCAGAGTCCATCTGGGCCTGGCGCCCGTTCTCTGCCCTGTTAATTGACTCTCTTTGGCTGATTTTTCTCATTGTAAATGAATAACTATTTGAGTGACTTAAAATCTTACTCTCAATAATTGTTTTTTTCCTCAAATCTAACCAATCAGAAAAATTAAAGTGGGAAGAACTGAACAAATCAAATAGTCAAATTCTTAAACTTGGACGACTAATCAAAAGCTTATCAACAACTCAGATGAATACATGTGTTTGAAAAAAACCACTCAACCCATCAAACGGAGGACTTGCAGAGCAAAGACTATGGCCTTATGTATTATTTCAGTTATTTCTTATAGAATCCTTCTGAGACACAAGCATTACCACCCCAACTTTGTCCAGGAGAAAACTGGACATGCTCAGTGACATGTCCAACGTTATTCACTTAGTAAGAAGGAGACCAGGAAGTGAACCAGTGTCTTTTGACTCTAAACCTAGACCTTTCTTACCATAAGTGCATCTCTGCTGGGTAAGAGAACAAGAGCCTAAGAAGGTCTCAATAATCTGCACCAAATCTAATGAGATATCAGCCAATGGTAAAAAAAAAAAAAAAAAAAAACCCAGGAACTGAATTTGGGACCGAAGGAACAATTTTTGGAAAGTAAAGTGGGAGAGATAAGTCATGTGACTAGCAGAACCAAGGATGAAACGCTTGGGGTTTTAGTTGACAGTAAGGTCAGTGTGAGTCAACAGAGATGTAACTTAAATGTGTCGTCCTGGCTGCTTCACAGTAATCAGGGTCACATGGGAGTCCTGCTCCACCCCTGCAGGAGGACAGAAGTAGACTCAGGAGAATCACCACCACACCACAGGGCTGCAAGCTCATCAGCTGGGAGACGCCTCAACAATTTAGGGTGTTCGCTGGGGAAGGGAAGATTCTGAGGGCACACAGCAGCTGTTTTCAAACGGTGGAAAGATTATCATGTAGAAATTGGGCTTGTTCTAAAACACCAAGAAAACAGCACAGTTGGCAAGATGGCTGGCAAGGTCTTCCTTAACTTAGAAGGATCTTTAGTCCACGTCTTTCTCTAGCTCTCTTTCTGTGCTCACAGCGGAAAGAATAGTTTAAACTCACCACATTGACTTCCTCAGCTCCTAGTAGCTCTTGACCCAGTGCAGTCAGACGGCCCCTTTGGAGGTCCTCTGGGGTAGTTCTCCCACTGTCACACATAGCCTCCTAACTGCCATGCCCACGAGGCTCCAGTTTTCATCTGACGCAACCTGATCCTCCGTCAGTATGCGATACCGTTAAATATTCCTCTGTTTAAATGCTCTTGTCTATCTCAAGAAAAGTGCTCTATCTGGATGCTGTTCTCTCTCTCTCCGATTATTCCTTTTCAAGAATCTTCAAAGCTCTCTGCTTCTGGTCACCCCTTACATACTGGTACCCCAACCTTATTTTGATATATTTGGTCCTCCTCTCATTCTACGAGTATTTTCCCTAGTACTCTCACTCACTCCCAGGTCTTATAATACACTTACACACTGCTGATTCACAAATCTCTATCTAGATTTCTCTCCGGGGACCAGACAAGTATATCCAATCACCCACAAGAAATCTCCACCTGAATGTCACTCATTCAACACATTTGGTCCCAAACTGAATTTTTAATCTTCCTTTAGAACATTTTTCTTCCTGAATTCTATCAATGGTACCATTATCTACCTAGTCATCTAAGTAATTAAAGCTAGAATAGTTTTTTTAAAAAAATTACTTTGATTAAACTATCCTTTTCCTAATATCACAAATCCCTTATTTAGGAACTCATAATAATTGTGGAAATGATGTAGGGCAGGAAATTTAGGTCACATATTTTCTTTCTTGAGAGATAAAATCACATACATACACACACATCCTTCAAGCTAATGACAAATCAGAAGGGGTATTATTTTTTTAAGGTAGCTGGGGTTTGGATTTCAACAGCTGAACTTATACATGTGATAAAGTATGTGTGTGAATCATCCCTAATTACAAGTATATGTTAAAAAACATGTGTGTGTATATATATAAAAGGTGGTTTGGTTTGGTTTTTGCCATGGAACTTGTGTCCAAATAAAATGCTATTAGGGAATTCATAGAAATAAAACAGAGAAAAGCAGAACTTCTCGGGTTAAGGAGGAAAAATGTGGGGAGAAGGGCATCTGTCCTTTGCATCCTCACCCAGGGAACCACCAGGGCATCTGTTTCACACTCAAGGGCCTGCGGGATGCATGGAACTACTTAAGCTCAACTTCAGCTAAACAGTGTTTAAGTGTGGAATACATATAAAGTTATATTTTTATTAAAATTTTCACAAAACAAAACATAGCTTCAGGGTAGAGAGTAGTATGCCACAGCCGCAGCCAAAGTAATTTAGACTGACTTATGAAACAGTCATTATACAGTTTTAAAACGACATGTTTTACTTTCTATTTATCATCTAATTATTTATCATCTTACCGAAGTCAAACTAATGTCTTCATGGATACTTCCAAATAAATCAGGAGAAGAAACATCCATGGAAAGACTGAATATAGAAGCAAGTAAGAGAATAGTTACAATCAAAGCAGTAAAATAAAAAACGCTAATATAATGTTATATGTCAATTATACCGCAATTTAAAAAAAACTGCTGTGAACCCATTTGGTCTTAAAAGCTTTTGGTCAAAAATTACACAACTTTCTGTTAAGTTTTTTATATTTAATAATTAACAGTTCAAAGTGGACACTATGGAGTGTCTATTAACATAGGCCATATGAAATTTGCTTTCGGATCTTCCCAATATTGACTTAGCAGGAATTCTTTTCTTTAAACTTAACCAACTGATTTTAGAATTCCTATGGAAGACTGAGTAGATGAAAATATCAAATAATATTTCAAAGTAGAGAAGCAATAAAAGGAAACTAATCTGAAAAACATTAAAAAATAAACTAATGATAAAACGACACAAACTGATAGAAAATATATATGAATAAAAGAAACAAGATAAAGTTCAGAAATACGTTGCACCAAATATTATAATTCAATGATGTATGAAACAGAAATTGTAACAAAACAATAAGGAAAGATTTACTTAACCAGTAACATAAGGGAACTGATTAACAATACACATTCCTGGTAGATTAATGTGGTAAATTAATTTTAAACATATAAAACCAAATCAAAGAAAAATCAGAAGAATTAAATATTTATTAGGACTCAGAGAGGTGACAGTCTTACATACTGAGAGGCAAAAACCAATACCAAGAAACAGACAAACACGGAGAAATCCTCAAATTGTCAATTATGGATTTAAGAGGCGTCTATTTAGCATCATCTGTGTCAGAGCATAAAACAAGTGCACAGAAGTTAAGCCTGTCAAATATCATTCAGAAAAACTGGATTTTTGAGAAGTCCTTTAGAACAGCATTATGAAAGAATTATCACATGGTTTTGCAAATATCAAAACATCAAGCTATCCTCTGGAGCTCAAATGAGTAAGCCTGACCCAGACTTAATCCTACTAACATAATTAGTCTGTAACAAGAGTATCGCTGCCATCCTCTAACACTAGAATTACAGAAGTTACCAAGTAGGAACTACCTACCTACTTTAATTTCCTACTTTACTACTTATAAAACTTGTCTCTTTGGATAAGCAGTAAGCTAGTCAATCATGTGTTCAGTGTGCTATCATGTTGCCAGTAATGCTGAGTTCAGAAGATAAAGCAATTATGGAAAGAATATAGATCAAATATATAAATTATAACTTTAACATGAACAATCTATCTCTCTGATTGGAAATCTTAAAATATAACACCAACTAGTCTACACTTTGTTAACACTTCTACGTGTGCAATGAGATTGACTTCAGTTTTACTCACTGTGCAGTATCTACATCAGCATCAGGCTTGGCGCTCAATTGTTCCAGACAGTGTACAAAAATCTAAGTCAAAAACAACAAGTGTCAGTGATATGAACTCTTAGACTCTAACCTATTTGGACATTAAAAATAATTTTACATAGGGGCCGGCCTGGTGGCACAATGGTTACTTTCGTGTGCTCCACTTCAGCACTGTGGGGTTCATGGGTTTGGATCCCAGGCACAGACCTAGTACCACTCATCAAGCCACAGTGTGGTGGCATCCACAAAAAATAGAGGAAGAATGGCAGAGATGTTAGCTCAGGACCAATCTTCCTCATACACACACAAAAATAATAATTTTATATAAATAAAAAAACAGAAATATATATCCAGGGGCTGGCCCCGTGGCCGAGTGGTTAAGTTTGCTGCAGGCGGCCCAGTATTTCATTGGTTCGAATCCTGGGCATGGACATGGCACTGCTCATCAAACCACGCTGAGGCAGCGTCCCACATGCCACAACTAGAAGGACCTACAATGAAGAATATACAACTATGTACCGGGGGGCTTTGGGGAGAAAAAGGAAAAAAAAAGAAATATCCTGTAAGTGGTATACATGCATGTATATCTCCCATAAGTGACAGAATATATACTCCACCAATGTATATCACATGAGTGATAAAAAATTAAAGTCACCTGCGTTTTGATTCAATTATTAAGTTCTTGAATATATTTTAGGAAAAAGACCTTATCCTTTCTCTCATTCACTCACTCATATGCTCAACTTTATGTCCCCATAAAATACTGGTCCCAATCACAGAACTTTATGCTACAAATATGATTTAAACAATTATCATGTCACTTAATCTGTGCTCTAACAAAAATAGATACAAAGTATCAAGAGAACACAGAAAGGGGAGCATAATATAAATGAAATATTGGAGCATTGCTAAAACAAGTTGGAATTAACCTTACCTGGAACGTTATTTATTTTGTTATCTTACTTACCACAAACTATTATGTACTCAGACAAAAAGGAAAAAGAACACATATTTAACATATGCTGCACCATATATTATAAGTAGGAGGGGTTGACTAATAATTTGCAGCCCTCCAGGCTTCAGGGCATCAGTGCTTTTACGTGTTACCTGCATGATATGGATGCTTAGTTGGCAAACCTCCTCCTGTGTTTTAGGTTGTTGAAAGACCTGTAAGGAAGAATTTTGATGAAAATTTTGGGACTTAGCTAAGAAAACAAAATTTTTTGTTTACAAAGTTTGATATAAAAAATTAACACATGGCAAACTGCTTCCAGTGTGGGTAACCTTTCTATGAAAAGGGACAGGAGTGGGACCTGGCCTATGGGAGGTGTTTCTTCTGCCCGTAGTGGTCCCGGCCTGGGAAGACACTGGCACGGCACTGCCTGACCACACCCAGGTTGCCATGCTCTGTCTGTGAGTGTTAGCAGTGCAAGCTCTCTGCCGACAACACTTAACGCTCACATTGTAACTTCCTTCAGCCAATCTCGGAACTAACACATCAAGGGCCCATGTAGGGGGCAAGCAAGCAGTCAGGGGAAAAAGCTCTTGTGCTGGAATGACTCAAAAATCTACAACCGTGATTCCCAAGGGTTCCCTTGGAAAAGTTTACAACAGAGTTTGAACATAAGAGAAACTTACACTGGCTTCTCCAGGCTTGCACTCTAGAACGCCTTTGAGTGACTGCAGAGAACGCACAATGCACTGCTCAAACTGACACGGCTGAAGGAAAAACATGGGCATCTTAAAATGGAAAATAACCATTGATTATTAAGACACTTAACAGAAGCGAGTATGGCCCAAGACTCAATTTTCCAGATTTATGGAAGGGAACAGAGATGCCAATCATCTGACAATCTCCTAGGCACTAAGATTTACATTTGGCATGTTCTGCACTCGGTATTTAGAAAATGGGTGAATCTTAAGACTCTCAAATACATCTAATTCAACCAGAACAGAAGTCAGGTATAACTAAAATGTTTCTTCAAAACTCTAGTCTTCTAAGAGGCAAATGACATGCTGAAGAGCAGATACAACAAGTTTCTATAGTAAACGCTATTTCCAGGGTGCGTTCTGGGACGAGCTCACTCTCCAAGATCTTCCACATCTCTGGTACTGTTCAACAAAATTGAATGTTAGTAATAATGATCCAGAGGAGGTCCAAGGTCTTTAATTCAAAAAAGTCGTTACAGTCATTTTCTATATACATTGTCAGAAAATGAAACTTGAAAATATGTCCAACAAATGGCATTCAAAGTAAGTTTAAATGAATCCTGACTGTATTTAAGGTTTTACTTTGTGCCAGGCATACCCTAGGTGATGGGGATATCAGAATAAGACAGACAGAGTTCTCATTAAGCGCATATTCTAGGGCGGGAGACACTATCACAACAGACAGTCAACAAAACCCTGACTTTTTACTAAAAAGAAAAACAAACTATAGAAATAAAATTAAGTGCAACTGCAAACCAGACAAAGCATTATGAAAAAACAAGTGAAAACTCAAGACAAAAATGGTGCTGGGGTGCCTGCTCTGACCAGGAGAGTCAAAGGCCTCCTGAGACAGGGAGGCGACGGAAGCTGAGACCTGAAGGGCAAGAGGGGCTGGCGGGGAAGAAAAGGGAGCAGGGAGGCCTGCTGTGCACAGTCCCCCAGCGGGCCGAGCCCTCGCCAGGAGCCACAAGAAGAGCCAGCTGTGCCTCACAGCCAGTGGGGGCTCCCGGGCCGGAGACCAGCTAAGGGGCTGGATCTCACGCAGGTGGTGGGCTGTGCACGGCACAGATTCACCAGCCCAGCTCTGTGTAAAACTCCACAGCAGAGCCTCTCCTCCATACAAGCTTCAGTGTTTTTTTTTTACTGAAGATCAATTTTTTTAAAAGTTTGGAAAAAAACTGAACAGAAGAAAGAGACACCTGTATACAAACAAAAAACAGACAAGTTTATCTTCTTACAAAAAGGAACCCAGACAATTAGGGAAAGCTAAAACAGTGCCTCAACTTGAATGCCATTTTAATAATGCACTTTGAAGCCACCAGAGGGCACCATAAAGAATACTTGAAAGTAGAATTACCCAAAAAAAAGGAATATAGGATGAAATATCAACTGCACAGAAAGTATTTAAAGGGTCAAAACATTTGTTAGGCACCTGACCTTATCCATCCAAACCACCTGCCTCATAAGGTATGAAAATCTAAGATGTTAAAATGATAATAAGAGTAGGAATTAAATCCAAAATTCAACTGTGGGGGGCCGGGCCCGTGGCCTAGTGGTTAAGTTCAGTATGCTCCGCTTTGGTGACCCAGGTCTGGTTCTCGGGCACAGACCTACCCTACTTGTTGGCGGCCATGCTGTGGCAGCAACCCATATACAAAACAGAGGAAGACTAGCAACAGATGTTAGCTCAGGGCCAATCTTTCTCAGAGGGAAAAAAAAATTCAACTGTGGGCAGTTAAATGTTGATGCTCATGTTGGTCATCTAGATTTCTTGCATTAAAACTTGGACTAGATTTCCTTATTTTCTTTTTATATCTATATTAATATAATAAATGGAAAGAGAACACTAGAGAGCCAAATGGGTGGTTTCAGCTAAACTGGGAGTAAATGACAGTCTGAACATCTACTATTTCTTTCTTCTAGAAAGACAGTCCTATCTCTGCACACCGTCAGTGAATCATCCACGTTAGCTGACTCTAAGGAGTTAAAGCAAACCATTCCAGTTCTTCTGAAAGAAAAAAATTCTCAGAATGATCCAAAGTGAAAAAAGGTAGAACAGATTTTCAGCATGAGAAGAAAACAGGATGCTTCAAAGAAGCTGCTTCAGAGCACTGCAGTCAGGTTTGAATTAGAGGTGATGCACCAGCTGAAAGAACCGTCATGAGGCACAGGCACCTTCATTTCTTTAACTGGATAAGAAACACTTTCCCAGCCCAGCAACATGGAAAGAAAAACACATTCTCATTTCAAACAAATGGGAGTGGTGCTATGGAAATGTCAAGAAAATATAAATCAGAGGTACATAATAATCTTTGACGCAATTTAAGGAATTGTTCAAAATCTAAGAATTTAGCAGATTTTACTTAGGTTAAAATATTAAAAGCTGGAACCTAGATGCTACTCTAACACTTATTCACCTTTTCTCTTAAGTGAGGCCCATGGTGAACAGCTAAAAATGTGGTCCAGTTCCAGTCTATTCTCCAAAGCGTCCAACTCGAGGGCCTGGCTAACACCAGGAGTGCAAGTTCCTGTGGGTCACTCATCCACAAGGTGCAGTGCGTGTAGTTGTCTGCCTCACGTGTGTGAGACCAAACATGAAATTAGTTATTCTAGCGTTAGAGTTTCTAACGTCTGTAGTCAAACTTTAAATTGACTACAAAGAATTTTCTATAACAACCATTTCAGAGCATTTCAAAGGGGCTCATCTACTATAATCAAACAAACAACCTTACACTTGGCAGCCAGCACACAGGCACACACTTGGACACAGACATGGCAGCCAGCACACAGGCACACACTTGGACACAGACATGGCAGCTAGCACACAGGCGCACACACTGGGACACAGACATGGCAGCCAGCACAAAGGCGTATACACTGGGACACAGACATGGCAGCTAGCACAAAGGTGCACACACTGGGACACAGACGTGGCAGCCAGCACACAGGCACACACTGGGACACGGACATGGCAGCCAGCACACAGGCACACACGCTGGGACACGGACATGGCAGCCAGCACACAGGCACACACTCGGACACGGACATGGCAGCCAGCACACAGGCACACACGCTGAGACACGGACGCGGCAGCCAGCACACAGGCACACACTGGGACACAGATGCAGCAGCCAGCACACGGGTGCACACGCTGGGACACGGACGCGGCAGCCAGCACACAGGCACACACGCTGGGACACGGACGCAGCAGCCAGCACACAGGCGCACACGCTGGGACAAGGACGCGGCAGCCAGCACACATGCACACACTGGGACACAGATGCGGCAGCCAGCAAACAGGCGCACACACTAGGACACAGATGCGGCAGCTATCCCGGAAGCACATTCTGGACTGACTGTGTACAGGAAACATTAACTTAAAGAAGGATCTAAAGCAAACATGTATTTTACGGCTGAGTTTTGTTGAATGTCTGTCCTTGTTTTTTTAATGAAACATAAACCCTTACAAACAGCTCTGTTTTCTCAAATTGAATGTATACATTCTTTCCTTTGCACAAGATTGATCTGAAGCAGGTATCAGAAGCCAAGCGTCAAGGTAACTCCTGCCTAATCAAGCCTGGCTTTCCCTGGGGCCAGCTCTCCAGCGTTGATGGGTCTGACCCTCGCCGGGGGCCGTCTTCCAGGCTTACTGCAATCATCAAGCAGGAGAGGGTTATAAGAAACAGCTGTGAAAACAGTCGGGCGTGACATAACCCTAAGGGATGATTATTATAGTGGCCCCAGTGCTACAAGTGTTAATTTAATAAATAAAAATCCTGTATATGGATCATTTCGTGTTTTATTCCACAGTGTCTCATTTAATCTTAACCAGTGACACTGAGAGTAAGCACTCTGCTGCTTCCTTAACTAGGGGCAGAGAAGTGAGTGGCTTCTTTAAGACTGCATGGCCATCAGGTGGCAGAACTAAGGACTGAACCTGAGTATGACTCTAAATCCAGTACATTTTCCTCTATACCAGTGCTGTCCAACAGAAGTTTAATGCAAGCCACAAACACAAGGCATATATGTAATTTTAGAATTTCCAGTAATCATATTAAGAAAACTAAAAGGAAAAAATTAATTTTAATATAATTTATGTAATGTAACATATCAAAATATTATTATTTCAATATGTAATCAATATAGAAAGTTGATATATTTTACATTCTTTCTTTTTGTACTGAGTCCTTGAAGTCTGGTGTGTATTTACACGAGCCACATCTCAGGTCTGCTCCATACCTCCTTTCTCTAAATATTTAGTGTGACAGAATTAGTTATAGGATAGTTTGTATTTAAATACAAATAATTGTGAAAAATAGAATAAACCAAATAAGTTAAAGCAGATGGCCTCTATTTTATTAACAAAATAATTTTTATTAAAAAAATAAATAAAATAAGTAAATCCTTTAAAATATAATTATAATAGATGTGTTAAAAATAATACATTTCCCAGGGGCTGGCCCCATGGCCGAGTGGTTAAGTTCACGCGCTCCGCTGCAGGCAGCCCAGTGTTTCGTTGGTTTGAATCCTGGGCGCGGACACAGCACTGCTCATCAGGCCACGCTGAGGCAGCGTTCCACATGCCACAACTAGAAGGACCCACAACTAAGAATATACAACTATGCACTGGGGGGCTTTGGGGAGAAAAAGGAAAAAATAAAATCTTTAAAAAATAATAATAATAATACATTTCCCTAACTAATTTCAAGCATGATTTAATTTAGAAAAATTTGGAATTATGCACTGCTATTTTAAACCACAGCATTACGTAAAGTAAGATACACTTCTATATATATATACACTAACTTAAGAAAGAACCTGGAACTTTGGAGGAATAGAAGGAGAGAATTTCAACATGTCAAAAATTCCCCATCTCTCAAATGAAGACTGTTGATAAGAAGTACAGAAATGTGAGGAAATGAAGCAATATTACATGGGATCACTACTTCTCAACTGGACTCACCACTATTTTGTAAATTTGAGCAAATGAAAATCATTTTCTTCTAGTTTCTTTATCTACTAAATAGGTAGAAAATGCTAGTTGCCTCCCCAGAATTTTTCTTCTTCTTTTTTTCTTACTAAAGTAAGATAGGAATTATTGGGACCAGCAATGTGCTCTGCTGAGAAACTAAATTTTTTCCAGGCTCTCTTGTAGGTAGGGGTGGGCACATGAATAAATTCTGTCCAATTAGATGTAATTCTGTCCAATTAACTGTGGCTCCCAGGAAACTGTTGGACTTTTCTACCAACAGGAACAAGGCCATGATGGTTGGAACTGCAGTGGCCATCTTGTGATCATGAGGCCATCCTGTGACAGAAGCCATGCTAATGATCACAAAGAAGAAAGACAGAAGGAGCCCTGGGCACTGAGTACACTGATTGCATGACTAAGCTGCCATGCACCAGCCCCGACTTCTTTAATGTGAGAGAAAAAGGAAACGGTCATCTTGTGTAAGCTACTTGATGTTTTAGATTGACAGCTGACTGTCAATCTTAACTGATACACCCACCTACAGGATTGTTGTGGGGATACATGAGAGAGACATGAAAACACAATAGATCATCCAAACTATTTTCAAAGGTATTTTGAGAACCTAAACGTCCCCTCTGAAACATGATGATTCCAGCATGAGCAGATCACGATCACAATTGCTGGCCTGACCTGTGACTGTGTCTGGAGAGGTGTGTTGTTGTTTGTTTTGTTTTGGCTTAGGGGCCAGCAATCGTATTTTTTCTATTCTGCTTTTCTGAAAAATTCAAGTTGCTGGCTAACTTAGAATTAAGCATAATCTATTAAAAAATGTAATGCAAACAAAAAAAGTAAGTTATACAAGATGAAGAAAGATCCCTCTAAAAGAAACCCACTGTTTTTATTAATTTTTAAATATCTGTGGTTAGATTTAATCAAAAATGCCCAAGAAGGAAGACTTTAAGAAGTGTATTTTTCTATTTCCAGGAACTATTTAGGGTTGCAATACAAAGAACATACGCTCCTTATTACTATAACAAATCATTTATTTTGAATATAATATACACTAATGATTAATCATTGAAAAGAATTTAAACTTACTAGAGAAGTCAGTCCTTCATTATCAACAATCCAATCTTCCTTTTCAGCTAATCTCTTTATTTCTACAGGGAAAACAAGCACACAAGTACTTTTTATTACTATTATCTCATCAAACTTTATAGAGATAAAAATCTATAAAGGTTATGGTTTTTAATTGCTTTATATAGGTTTGTAAAAACTTGGTGAAAGCAGGGACAGAATATAATTCTGGTAGACTCAAGGATTTAAATGTGTACTATTCACTAGATTTTTATAGTAAAACATTAATGTAAATCAAATTTTTTACTGCATTTCCCAATTTGGAGAATGCTAGGCTAGGTTTACTGACAACTTTAGACAATGATTGATTACTTTTTCAGCACTCTTGATAATATTAAACATGTACAAAGTAAGCTATACAATATTTTTTCCTAAAATTTCTGATGATTCTGTTCTAATCATATACATTCCAAACGACGGCAGTATGACTCAGGGTAAAGGAATGCCACATGTCCAAACCTTTAGCACTGCAGGCTGTCTCCGGTCCCTGAGGGGAGGAGGTGATAAATTATGAGGACATGGCTCAGTTTCTCACCTGGATTCCACTCCCCTTCCATTATACAGTGTCCCCAATTCCATACAGATATGACCTTCCTACTTAAAATCCTGATGCATCATTTATAACAAGGTTCTTGATTGTTTTTGAATATATTTAACACCCAAAGGGCTGCTTTGTAAAGATAATCTTTATTGTTTTTCATGATTGTATGTAAAAAATCTTGAAAAATTCTACGAAGTATAAAGAAAATGAGCATCAGCTATAATTTCTACTACACAGAGAATTACTGTTAACAGTCTTTATGATTTTACATTGATATTTATAAATTAAAATTTAAAAATACACATATATATTTTCACAATTGGGATATTTAATATACATTTTATATCCTACTTAACATTTGCCATAAGGATGTTCTTATATCCTTAAAAATTTTTCAAGTATATCCATCTTAACTTCTGCATGGTCTGGCATCTCAAGTAAACAGATTTGGAAAGATATCCAAAAAAGAAAAAAGCTCTATTGGGCAGCTATAGATGATCTAAAATTTTCATATTTTGGGGCCGGCCCAGTGGCATGGTAGTTAAGTCTGTGCCCTCCGCTTTCATGGCCTGGGGTTCACAGGTTTGGATCCCGGGTGTAGACCTGGCACTGCTCGTCAGCCACACTGTTGAGGCATCCCATGTAGAATGGAAGAAGATTGGCACAGATGTTAGCTCAGTAACAATCTTCCTCAAGCAAAAAGAGGAAGATTGGCAACAGATGTTAGCTCAGGGCCAATCTTCTTACAAAAAAATAAATAAATAAAAGAAAGATTCGTATTTCTCTAAGAGCAATTTCCTCATTTTCAAGGTTTGGAAGCTGGAAAGCAACGGCATATTCAGATAATTGCTGTCTAGTACATCATCAATTTTTCTTAGCATACCTTCTGCTGTGTGTTGCAATGTGACCATCACACAACGTACTCGGAGATCCAAAATGAGATCCTGGATGGTCTGCAACATGTCATTAGGAATTTCGAGGGCAGTTAATGATTCATAAGTAAGCCTGTGAAACAAACACAACAAAACCAAAGTGAGGATAGTGGGATCTGGAAGCAATTCCCGTCATCATTTTGGCCATCCTATAATGATTCATTATGAAGCTTATAAGCTACAACATTATTTTGAAAACAAGGCGAACATAAGATCATAACAGGCATTATAATACAATAATAATTCTGAATTAATAAAAAAGATGCACATCCAGTATGACATTCTCATCAAACACAAGCACCAGGAAGGTCTAAGAGCTTAACTGCTAGATGATCTGTGGAAAAGACTGGAAGCAAAGGACACAGTCAAAGTCTTTGTTGAATGTATTAAAAATCATAGCCCATACTGAGGTCTTTCGCTTTTTTTCAACAAGATAAAAAAGTATCTACCACTTTTCAGGAGAATGTGTCCACATGTACCTCATGGTCTGGATGACATGAGCAAGCCACTGTCCGGAGAGCTCAGACTTTCCCTCCCAGCCTCCGTGCTGCCTGGCTCCGCCCTCCGAGATGCTGAGTGGGAGCAGGGCTCCGCGGACCAGCTTCACAAGACAGTGCATGACTTCCTGAATCATTTTCTAGACAATAAGGAACAAGCAAACTGCATTAAAAGCCACTCGCTTGATTAAATCAATGAAAAGAATCTACCTGGACAATGACGAGGATCTTGAACATAGATAAAGTCTTCTGGTAACTTTGGTGGAGAAAATCCTGCCCTATAGAAAAGTCTGTATACTTATCCTTAACCTACCTTAAAATCATTCTGTCTGTGCCTTACATTCTTTGATCTTTCAATCTGGCCAGACCTCTCAGCAGTCTTAAAAATTAAAAAAAAAAAAAAAAAAAATTAGTTGTCGTTAGAAATAATTTATAAAAATGTGAAATGCTTTAGCATTGTATATAAAGAGAGCATGAAATATGGTTAATATCTGATTAAGAGAAATGTGTAAGAAATAATCTAACTAAATGATAACTAATTAGAAAACTTTTAATATTCCAAGAAGAAGATATTCATCTTCCTAAAAGCTTCAAGTACAATTACCATAAATAAACCTAAGTATTAAGTTGAAACCATCTTTTTTTGTAGGTGAATTTCATATGCCATTTTCATCAACGATTTTCTATAATTAAACCTAGAAGCAGCACACCCAGAGTACCTTCTCAACATCACTTCTCATTAGCTACTACAGAGACAACAGCAAGAGTAAACTTGGGACTAATGTCTAGTACCTGACAGCATTCATTCCATTTCCCCGACAAATAGTAAGAACATAAGCATTGTATCTGGCATTTTGTTTTTAAAAAATTATAAATCACTGCTCTTCTCTCAGGGATTTTACAGCCATGTAGAGTCTGATAGCCACGCTTTCCTCTGATATTTCTTTCTCCTTAAAGTAATGTGTGGAAGACTGCCTTACATTGATTAAGAGAGAAATCTGTTCAATTGGTTTCAGTTAACTTCTTATTACCAAATTTTCTAATGACTAAATATTACATACAAAATGCCCTAGAAAGGCAAGCTTAGGAAACTTTCCAAATAAAGCAGGAACAAAATGACACAATGTAAAAGAAAATTCTGATACTTTATTAACATAATGCAAAAGTTATCCTTTCAAGTTAAATATACTTAGGCATTACTGGTTAGAGACATGTCAAGAGAACTTTCAAGCTAAGAACAATTGCATTATAAATGATGATACTGACTTTAAGTTAATTTTAAAACACAGGTGATGTTATATATATTTTATATATAAGCTAGAGAAACAGCGTATAGAATTGGTTTATATGATGAACATTATTGACACGACTGAGCAAAAGAAGGGTAAGGAATGCCGAATGTTCTCAGCAAATTATCAGACCTACCTGATAAACAGCGGTCAACATACACAGACACACACACCCCTTCAGGCTATAGTTTATACTCATTTTAAAATTTCATATTAGACTGTGCAGCTTTTCTTTTTTTCTTATCATTTTTTCTTTGTAGAAATCCACTTTTGCTTTGAAAGAACTAAAGTTTAGTTTTTGAAAAACTAAACCCAAACTTCACCATAAGCAAATTCCTAAGTTCACTGACCAACAACACTCAAAATTCTTTGTATACCAGGATTTAACTCAGAAATGCATGATTTTGTCCCTTTATTTTTAAGACAATGAGAAGTGACTGAAGTGTTTTCTGGCTGCAGCGAGAAGTGACCAGAGGTCTAGCGTCAGGAGCATGACCAGCAGGAGGAGGCTGCCCTGGCCCAGAGAGCACTGGCAGCGGCTCAGACTGGAGGAGGGGGACAGACAGCCCAGGAGGACGGCTTGGACACAGGCGTCCGAGGCAGCACAGACTGAGCCTGGCGACTGCACTGTGTGTTTAGCGCAAAAGAGGACACATCAAAAGTGACTCCCATCCAAGTCACAGTCACTCAGGTAAGTCCAAATGGCCCTGACTGTCTGTTAGCCTACTTCCCGTTTCTGTGACGTGTGCTGCTCTGATTCAAAATAACCATTCTGGTGACAGCGTGGCTGAGGTGTAGAAAAGCTAATGATGGCCCTGCTTGCCGAGGCCACAAATCTGTCCTCTAAGTGCTGCAGTTGAACAGGTCTTAGCCCCAGGCACTGCCTTCTCGGTTCTCTCTATACCTTCTCACTAATTTATTCTCACGGCTTCAAACACCATTTCTATCTAAGGCCTTCCTATTTTGGGTTCTGCCTCCAATTCCAACAGGCGTGTTGTGGGGGCTTACCCCCACCTCTAACAATTCTCCAGATACCGGCTGGGTGTCCTCCAATTCAACTCAGTTCTGATACTATCCACCTGGAGAGAGCATCAGATCCACCGGTTAAGGGCTCAGTCCTATGGCGACCAACCCCCTGCCCCTCCCCACACACATTTCAGATGCCAATCGCAAGCCCAGGTTGTCATCTGTCAGTCACGTGTCTGACTGTCACAACATGATTGGCTAGAGATTGGAGGTTCCCACCACCCCCTCCTCGCGTCCGATTAATTTGCTAGAGTGGCTCACAGAACTCAGGAAACCCATTCGCACCCTAGATTAACAGTTTATTATAAAAGGGCACAACTCAGGAATAGCCAGACAGAAAAGATACATAGGCAGGGTCTAGGGCAGGGCGTGGAGCTTCCACGCCCACGTGTTCACCAGCCCAGCTCTCTGAACTCCATCCTTCTGGGTTTGTCTGGAGGCTTCATTACATAGGCATGACTGATCAAAGGATTGGCCACTGGTGACTGTTCGACCTCCAGCCGGGGGACTGACAGCTCCAACCCTCTAACCCAACCCTGGTTCTCTGGGCAACGAGTCCCATCCTTAGGTGGCTGAAAAGCCATTAACATAGCGAAAGATACCTTTTACCACTCCTCAGGAAATTCCAAGGGTTTTAGGAGCTCTGTGCCAGAAACTGGGATGAAGACCAAATATATATTTCTTCTCAGAAATCACAATATCACACTTCTAGACTTATATCTCCAGCCCAAATCTTTCCTCTGAGACCCAGATTTGAATTTCTGATCGCCTACTTAACGTGTCTTCTTGAATAACTCACGGGAATCTCTCAAATCCAACACACTAAAAATGGAAAACTGATATTTTCCTCCAAATGTGTTCTTCCTCAAGTCTTTCTGACTTTGTAAATGGCATATCTACTCACTTGGGAGCCCAAATGGGAGCTACATCTGAATCCTTGTCCTCAGCTCCCTCCTCTGATCTATCAGTAAGTCAGGTCAATACTATTTCCAAACTACAAATGAAACCTATTTCATTCTCTCTCCAACTCCTCTGGCAAAACCTTAATCCACCCACCACCGTTTCCTGCCTGGACAGCCTCAATAGTTTTCCGGCTTTGACTTTTGTTCCGTGACAATTCACTCTTGAAAAGGCAACCAGAGTGGTCTTTTTGCAGTCAGATTACACCACCACTTGGAGTCCTTCCGTGGTTTCCCACCCACTTGGAGCACAAATTCCTCACCGTGGTCTATAAGGAGGCCTGTCTGCTGGCCCTGCCTGCTCCTCCAGCCTCAACTCTTGCTTCTCCTGACGCCCTCATCCCCTGCTTAGTACACTCGGATGTTGTGACTTTCTGTTTTCAAACATGCCAAGCTCCTCTCCTCAGCTTTGCGAGTGCATCCTCTCTGCCCAGTGCCTTTTCCCCTCGGGTCCTCTGTGGGGCAGTTTCCTTCTCATGCTTCAACATCACCTCCACAGAGAGACTTTCCCTCACCTCCATCCCCCTACTGAGAATCTATCTGAGGACCTTATTTGTTTCTTTTTATAGCCTTTACCAAAATTTAGGATGATTTCTTAAAACTTTATTTTGATTCATCTCCCCAGGAGGAGAGAGGTCATGTTTATCTTGGTCACTACTTTGCTTATATTGTACACATGCATTGTAAAATCTATGTGTGTGCACGAGTGCGTAACAGTACCTGGCACATAGAGGCTACTGAGGGTATTCAATAAACATCTGGTGAATGAAGGATCACCTAGGGTTTGGGCTCCTCGGGACCTCCTGGAATATATTTCAGAAAGCATGAGGGCCCTGAAGACTACTAGGTTTATCTGAAAGCCTTCTTTAAAAAACCTGAAGTCCTGGGTCTCCACATGGAGATTGGCCCTTTGAAGGGCATCTGCCAGGCACAACCCTGTGACATGCTCCTGAAAAGGCCAACAGACTCAGTGCTTCTCCTTGAGATTTCAGATGTCAACAAAAGGGACGAGCAGAGGTTTAAGAATTTTGCATAAATGTTGGAGGTTGGGAGGATTGTTGTAGGTGTGGAATTCAGACGCTGTGAGGAACCCAGCACCTACTGCGATGTCAGAGGCACAGAAGACTGGAATCCTGTAGGTGGAATCTGTGTTGAAGATCTTGTGATGGTTCATTCTGCGTTTCAACCTGACTGGGCCACAGGGTGGCGAGATAACTGGCTAACGCTATTCTAGGGGTGTCTGTGAGGGGTTTCTGCATGAGATTCACATTGGGATCAGTAGGCTGAGGAAGGCAGGCTGCCCTCCCTAGTGTGGGTGGGCCCATCCCAGCAGCAGAAGGCCTGAATAGAACAAAAGGGAAAAGGCTGACCCTCTTCTGAGTAAGGGAGAACCCCTGCTTGACTGCCTCCAGCTGGGAAACTGGCCGCTTTTCCAGCCTTTAGACAGAAACATCGGTGCTTCCTGGGTCTTGAGTCTGTTCCCTGCAGATCTGGGGACCTGCTAACCTCCATAATCACGCGAGCCAATTCCCTGCAGCACATCTCCGTCTCTTTACAAGTATAGCTGGAAACAGAACCACCAGCCTAACACAGATCCGGTTCAGTACAACGTGAAGGGAGGGACGAGACTCTGACAGAAGGCATGCTTGTCTCAGGGAAGGGTCATGCCAGTGTGAACTCAGTGTCCTGACTTTCAGGTAGTGTCTTTCTAGCAGTATCCACCACAGTACCTAGCACTGAACTTTTTGGACAGTGGGCTTGTTCAAGAGGAAGATTATTTCATAATCCCTTGTTCTGTGAAATATTTTTAAATCAAAGGTGAAAATCAATTGTTTAAAAAAAAATCTTATCAAAATTAAAGCTAAATTTTGCCCAAACAATTTTGCCCACCAAACAGGTGCTAATGAATGCATGATGACATCTACTGGACAGAATAATTTTGTAAACTTCAAGGACCTGTCTCCAAACTCATGAAAAGTGGAGGGGTGGGGGAATTAGTTGTAAGGCATATCTCTTGCAATTGCTAACCAAAAAATAGTCACTTATTGTTTTAATTTGATGATGAGTTGAACATCTCCAACACACTGAATTATGCAAGGTTTGCCCTATCTTTAAAAGCAAATCTAATTTTGGAACATAAAGTGCATTTTAACTTACATACTATGAGTTACACAACTTTTTAAAATGCTGATTCCTAATGTTTAAAAATTACTTGAATGCTTTAAAAATTTTCACCTCAAAATACATCATATTTAAAATATATCTAAAGGTGAGATCTTAACCTACTATTAGCCATATCGTTAACTACAAACCTTAACTCCTTCCTGCACACACAGACCAAAACTCCTTTGTGGTGAGGCCAACGGCTGCATTTCACTGCTTTGATTCACATGTGTTACTTCACACGGGCGAGACTGGTTTGAAAAAGTGACTATTTTTTAAACTGTTGGAAACTCCATCTGAATCTGTAACGGATGGGCTCTTAATAAAACAAAATAGTTCTATAACAAGAAAAATAAGAAATTTCAAGCATATTGTGTTTAAATATTACAAAGCTTTCTTATATGAGATGAAGAGCCCACCATAAAAAGCCCCGAGCTCTCCCAGCATCCATTTCATCAGTTTTCTGGATCTCACTCCCAGGCTGAGACGAGCAGGTGCACTTTCCTAACTGCTCCATTCCTTTCTACTGCTCTTGCCTGTCTCTCTAGCTTTTCAACAGAAGCTAAATAGTTAGAAAAACATGCCCAAACCTGTAGAGCAAATTATACTTACTTAATAATTATTACTATAAACTTTTAAGGAAAGTTTATAAATATGAATAGGTAGAAATATCACAGTCATATCCAACTCAGTACAACTAATTAACATTATTATTCAGCGCTAACGTTGTTCCTAAGTTCTGAAGTAGCTCAGTTACTTTTCATCCTCAACCAAATATTTCATTTACATTTTTACCACAACTAGGATAACCTATAAGGAAGGAAAATATATTCCCTTTTCACTAAAACATCCTAGCCCAAAAACTCTTAGGAATTTTCTGAATTCTAAAAAGACTCGATAAGGCAACTACTGTCCACATGTGGCGGGCCACCTGTAGGACCCGATCCTACTGAAATGAAACACGTGGCTGGAAACAAATAATTAAGTTAAAACGCACCTCCTAAGGGACTGATCTTTAGACGAGGCAGTCCACCTTGAAGGGACTCAGCACCACTCCAGCAGCTCGCCGGCCCGGGATCTCCTCACTTCTACTACACTGTGCTCACTGACACCTGCTGTGTGCCAGGCCAGTAAGATTTCAAATAATGGAATAAATATTTATTCCAAATAATATGAGAAAATTCTTATTTCTCTGCCAGACTCTGTTATAAGCACTTCACTTATGTTAACTCATTTAATTCTCAAACCACCCCTACGGAAGGAGGCCCAGAGAAGTCAAGCTAGGCATAAGGTCACAGCCAATAAGTGATATATACTGGACATTCCTACTATAATACTAGTTAGTGTTCTGTAAGAAAAGCTGTGAACACTATCTGTCCAAGGCACCGGCATAGACGCGTCTGACCTTTCCAGGCCTCATGAGGGATCTGGTGAGAGAAGGAGCAGGTAAGAGGAGGAAGTTATGACCTGATATGAATATGAGTGGTGCGGCTGTCCCCACTGTGGCAGAGGGCGAGAAACCCAAACCTGTCTTCGCACCACGAGCCACACAACTCTCATTCAGCTGAGATGAATAAAAATGCGAGTCAATGGGGACATGTTCAAAAGCAGAACATTGAGAAAACTTTTTTCAGAAGACCAGAAAAACTGAAATTAAAGTACTCTCTTCCTCAGCCAGCTTAATAAGCCGCTCGGCATTTATGAAGGCAAGCCAAACTCCTCATTTATCCTATGGAAGACGGACCTTCTCTGTAGAGTTAACTTTTCAATCGACCTTTGCATAACCAAGCAATATAGCAGGGACATAAGGAAGTTGTGACACACATTATTTATTGCTAGAGTATCTGAATGTTCACTTATAAAGTACGGTCACACACCACCTAAGGATGTTTCAGTCAAGGACAGACCGCATAAACAACAGTGGTCCCATAAGATGAGTACACACAGCCTGGGTGTGCAGTAGACCGTACCATCTAGGTTTGTGTAAGTATACTCTGTGATATTTGCACAATGACGAAATCGCCTAAAGACGCGTTTCTCAGAACGCATCCCTGTCATTAAGCAACACATGACTGTATGGTAAGTGGTACGCTGCTGAAGTTAAAGGAAGAAAAATAGTGATAACCCACACCTAAGAGATTGGTGTTCTGCACTAAAGAGTTTGTTTTTTCTCACACTATTCTTTTTCTGTTTTTCATGCACTAAGTAAATTTTATGCTTTAGATAACTAACCATTCATATAAACAAGGATCTAAGGATCTATTAGGTTTAAAAGAAAAGTGACAGTGAGCAAATAAGAATTAAATATACAAAGAAAAATAAAACAACTCCAGAGACAAGCTCTATTTCTTTAACAGTCCCGTGACTGTATGTCCGTGGTCAAATGAGACTGGACGGGCTCCTGGAACACCAAGACTCCCAACCACTTCCCACCAAGGAAGGGAGGTCCTGAACCACAAAGTGTGCCTTGCTGTAAAAGAGCAAAAACGGTTTAGCCCTTTTCCACACTCACTTTCTGTGTTGACAAATGCAAAAAATGCAAGAAATAGCCTTCACCCTCAGGAAGATCCCTACCTCTCCCAGCTCTCAGGGCTGTGAAGAGTTCTCTGTGTAGACACGAAACCAGAGCTGGCCTCCCAGGTTCCCAAGGTGGCCTCCTTGGCAGCTTGAGGACAAGGGCATTACGTCTCTACTCCAGGACCCGGGGGCCTTTCACAGGGCACTAAAGTGAGCCTGCAAAGTGATGAGTCTGAGCTCCCTGTGCTATACACAGAAGTCAGTCATTACTTAATGTTCCTAATTTCTGTGCTACCAATTATATTATGCTTAAGCACTAAGTAAATGCGTGACCTATGAAAATGTGAAGGCTTATGACAACTTCGATAGGCTGATCCTATGGGGGACAGAAAACGGCATCTTTAAATTCTCTCCAACTAAGAAATTTTATAACTATATGGATTATTTCTGACCTGTGTGCAAGCTACAAACATTTTATCCTTGTTTCACCACTTGTTCATAGCCAAACACAGAATAATTTCATCCATAATTTGGCCTGACTGGCATTATACTCAATTCAGAATCCTTGAAAATATTTTGTTCCTTTTTTCCTTTAATTGACTCTCATTTAATCCTCACAACCACCTTTTGAGATAGAGACACTTATATTCTCTTCACACAGTTGAGGATACTGAGTCCAGACACTTAAGTAACTTGTTCATGGTCATACAGCTATTAAGTGATAGGGCTTTATGGCACTTTTAACTAATCGTAAAATATCTGACAATAGTCATAGCTTTGGGCCTCCAAGGTTTTCAAACAGTCAATTCAAAATGTAGTATCTTTAAGACTAGAAATTCACAACGAGTTTGCTACATCTATAGTCAAATTTGTATACATACCTCACTGAAAAGGCTTCCATTAACATATGAAATCCAGAGTTTCCAGAAGTTAGGCAGCTGACTTAAAACAAGCTTGGTCAATTTTTCAACAAATGCCACCCGGTGGGGAGTTTTGTACCTCCATGCTAAGGAGAAGAAAGAATAAAATACTCTCAATAGGGTTTTGAATCAGGAATAGAAATCTGCTTGAGCACAGTGCTGCCCCCCAACAAGTGGGCCCCACTCCTCCCACTCTGGCTGCAGAGCTTTAACTTGCTGACTGACCAATACTCCTTTTCTCACATTACACTCCCAGGCCCGCGGGCACAGAGCACATGTCAAGCAGAGGTCCTTGCCCTGCTCGGCAGGGCAGACAGAGCAGGAGGGCACAGCAGCAGAAGTGGGAGCCTCAAAGATGAGGGTGCTTTGGCTTTTCAGCCTTGTCTTCAGGATGCTATACTTCTCTTCAAAAAGTCAGGCAAGGGCAGGGCTGCCCCATGCCAACAATTAAATGAGAGTTACTGTCAACCTGTTAGAGACGCAACCATGCACCCTACGTGGCAAATACTCAGTGAGGAATCAAGCCATCAGAAAGGAACATACTCAAGCACAATCATGTAATGAATAAGTCTTCCCATAACAAAGAAAATTAAGAAAAAACAAAAATATTGAAGCCTCTTTGGCTACATATCATTTAATGCAGTTATTGTAGTAAGCGAGAAATGAGTTCTTAGAGGTTTCTTATCGGATGAATAGGTTCACAGGAACAAAACCAAACGTAGTAATTCAGTGAGCATTAGTCATTTTCCAGTCTCTTCCATCTTCACCGCACTCTTTCCTGTGTCCGCGTCCTTCCGAGCCCTGCTGCCTGGCCCTGCTGGGCTGCCTCAGAGCCTCCAGCAGGAGCAGGGCACAGGCACCCCAACTGCCCAGTTTCACAGTAATGATCAGGACGCTTCGGGGCCCACGTCTGACTTCTATTCAACAACTCCAAAGGCAAGTCAGAGAAGGGGCTTTCATTAACTCCTTCACCAACTGCCAGCTTCCCTTCAGAACACTCCTAGGCAGAAAGTTCTGTTGCTGCTATTATTGTTGTTATTCTAGTGGGGGGAAGGTGGATTTTATTTATTCTAAAATGTTTAGTAATTTTCTAAAGAGACAATATATGGTTAGAAAAGAAAACTTAAAAAGTGTACAGTGAAAAGTCTATGAGGGGGCACATGAGCCCACCCTCATTGCCCACGTGCCCAGTTCCCAACTTCGGCCCCAAGAAACCACTGTTATCAGTTTCTTGTGATTCTTTCTGAAATGCCTTTTATATACACAATTAAAAATAAACACGTATCCTCCACTCACCACCCAGAAGCTCTCTTACACAAATGAAAGCAAACTAAACACACTCTTTTGACACTTGGCTTTTTTTCATTTAACAATGGATCCTGGAGTTCTTCCGTATTCATACATCAGACGCTTCCTCCCTTTCTACCCACAGTTACATAGCAGTTCATGTTCTGGATGCATCATAATTTAACAAGTCCCCTTGTAACGGACAAGACTGTTTCCACCTTTTGCAGTTAAAAATAATGCTTCAACCAACAACTTTGTTACCTACATCTTTGAGCACATGTACAAGTAAGAGTGTAGAACACTTTCTCAGAACAGGGAGTGCTGGGTCCCAGAGTGCACGGAGCTGTAGTTCTGACAGGTATCATTAAATCGACCTCTACAGGGATTATTTACATACCCGCTAGCAACAATGGAAGTGGCAGCTTCCTTACAACCTCGCCAATGAACAAATCAAATACACAAAACCCAAAACAACAAACACCTGGGGTTTTTGCCAAACGGATATGTCACTATAGTATTACATTGCCTTTTAATTTTTATCATGAACAAGGTTGCATAGCTAGTACCTATTCATACGCTTAAGAACCATTCAGACTTCCTCTTTGCGGCCTGTAGAGCCTCTTTATTTATTAGGCATATTAGCCCTTTGTCTATGTTATGAGCTGTGGGAAAAGCTTTAAATTCAGTTGTGACCTATGTGAACAGCATGGTTCTTTATTTGGGGCACACCGTAAATGTGTACTTGTTCCTTCAGCCACTATCTACTGACTGTTCACAGTGCGCTGATCCTGCGGCTGCACCCCAAGGTCGATGCTCCTCACCACTCACGCTGAACAGGGCAGGTCTCCACCTCACAGAGCCTACAACTGAATGGACAGCCAACGAAAGGAGCCCTAATCGTATGTGATATGAGTCTAATGAGATAAGAGGTATATTTCATCTGGAGACAGAGCTGAAACAGACACACTAAGTATAGATAAACACTAACTGCTTTCCAAATGGCAGGCAGCACGCTACACAGCGTAAGCCCCAGGCCGGTATGTTATGGGCCAATGACAAGGTAAGAAATAGGACAAGAAAACCTAAAATCTGAAGTATTGGAAGACCTGCCTCATATGGTAGGAAGCAGACTCGTACATGGTACCTTCCCCCAAATTAATGTTGCAAGAGATCTGACCTCCACTTTGCAGCTATATTGACCATTATTTTGCACATCCATATTGTGAGAAACACATCTGGCATCCTTTGTCACAGATTCCTTGCAGGGCTTGTTTGCTAGGAAATCAAAGTAAAAGCAACATAAGCGAAACCCAGGTCCCCACTGGCTCTGAAGTCGGACAAGCTCTTTGTGTGGTCTGGGCTGGCTTACCACCCATCCTTGTTTTCCACATACACAGAGATTTTCTACGTATCCACTCAGCCTCAAAGATCAGTCTGTCATGGAGAATGCCTCCATCCCAAAGAAAAATAGTGGACACTGCCTTTTCACAAATTTACCAGAAAAATTCTCTAAAAACCACAAAATAAACAAAGGAAACTCAGCTTCTCTCTCATTAAAACCATTAATTAATAAGTATTCTAACTGAAACAATTTTAAAATAGGAAAAGCACCTGGACAAATATAAATAAAAACATAAACCAATTCCAAAAGGCTTCCTAAAAGATTCCTTCAGCTGAATCTTTTTATGGCAGATTAATCGGTAAAATTATTTTGTCTGAGTTCACCACAGTATGGAGTGTTAATACAGCTGCTCAACAGTATCGCCAGACAACCACACTGAGCTGGAAGTCTTGCAGTTACTTAAACGTGCTGGCACTCATCAGGGTTCTTCAAAAGCGGACAGGTTCCTGCAGCCTCCTGCCCAATGAGAGAGCAGTCCTCAGTCCGTGGTTCATTTAGTCTCTCTACTACCAGCAGACTCTTTATGCCTATGTGTGTGTGTGAGTAAGGAGAGACCTTCTCCCTCATTCCTTGTCTAACTCATTCAAATTCTGATTATTATAACTGAAAAATTATTTTGGATTTCCTTTTTTACTGAATCCACCATGTCCTGGTTAAATTCCCACATGCTGTATCACCGACAGAAAAACTTCAAGAGTTATTTCCTAAGACTGATGAAAAGAACTAAGGGGATATGGCAGGAATGTCCAATTTTTTTCAATGAAAATCACAAAGTACATAGTCTCATAAATTTTGCTTTGATCACAAAGTCAAGAATGAGCTTCCACAACTTTATTCACACCTATTGTTTCCAGTAAGCAATCCTTCCTAATGTTCTAATTTCAAGTAAAAATTTTAGGGAAATTAAACGTGAATTATTTTCCTTCCACTTCTATCCATACTGAAGTAATAAGGATTGGATTTGACCTCCAGTAATAAATAACCAGAAAATTAGGAGAAAAAATACATATAAAAACAACTGTTTTCGGGGCTGGCCCCGTGGCCGAGTGGTTGAGTTTGCGCGCTCCGCTGCAGGCAGCCCAGTGTTTCGTTGGTTCAAATCCTGGGCGCGGACATGGCACTGCTCGTCAAACCAAGCTGAGGCAGCATCCCACATGCCACAATTAGAAGGACCCACAACGGAGAATATACAACTATGTACCGGGGGGCTTTGGGGAGAAAAAGGAAAAATAAAATCTTTAAAAAAAAAAAAAAAAACAACTGTTTTCAAACATTGACAATAGGCAGCACAGGACTGTGACCCCTAAGGGAAGAGACACACATGTTGAGCCCACCGTCGCCCTGGCTTATGGCCTGCAGACAATTTCTAGACAACAGAGGCAAAGGGAAGAGGAAACTAAACACTGACCTGTGCCCTATAACTTATTAAAAAATCACATAGCATTTCTTTAATGTACAGGGAAAAATTCATTTTAATTATTTAAATTTAATTACTGGGTAGCTGCTTAATAAGTAGAAGAGATGATGATTGGTAATACTTAACGGCAGTTACACAACTAATTATGGAATTTTCCAAGAGAAAATGTTTGAAATTACACAAGCACAAATTTAAAAAACAAAGTGGGGCTAGAGATACTTACTATCATCCCGGCTGGACTGGAAGCTGCTGCCCCTCGTCAGTGACGCCGTCTGACTAAGGTGACCCAACACCGAGGGCCGCACATCGTTATCCAGGTCGATCATGGGACTGTGAAGGCCTGGAGTACCTGGAGGACAGAGGCGACACCTCCATATATTACATCTATCCTTATTTAGCTGATTTAATGGACTACTTTGCTGAGTTATTTCTTGCTCAATTGTTCCATTCTTTTATTTATTTATTTATTCGAGGAAGATTAGCCCTGAGCTAACATCTGCCACCCATCCTCCTCTTTTTGCTGACGAAGAGTAGCCCTGAGCCAACATCCATGCCCATCTTCCTCTAGTTTATATGTGGGATGCCTGCCACAGCACGGCTTGACAAGCGGTGCCTAGGTCACGCCCAGGATCCAAACTGGTGAACCCTGGGCCACCGAAGTGGAGCATGTGAACTCAACTGCTATGCCACCCGACTGGCCCCTCCATTCTTTTAAATAAAACATTTACTAAGCAAAATAAAAAGTAATTTCTCTAGGGGCTGGCCCAGTGGTGTAGTGGTTGAGTTTGCATGCTCCCCTTCAGCGGCCTGGGGTTCGCCCGTTCAGATCCTGGGTGCCAGCCTATGTACCGCTTGGCAAGCCGTGCTGTGGCAGGCGTCCCACATATAAAGTAGAGGAAGATGGGCACGGATGTTAGCTCAGGGCCAGTATTCCTCAGCAAAAAGAGGAGGACTGACAGCAGCTGTTACCTCAGGGCTAATCTCCCACAAACAAACAAATAAATAAATATTTTCTCCAAATAGCTTTTAAAAGTCATCCCCACATCTTCTTTATCCATTCATCCATTGATGGGCACTTAAGTGTCTTCTGAGTCTTGCCTATTGTGAATAATGCTGCCAAGGTTATCAGAGGGGAAGGCAGTGGGGGTGGGCAAAATAGGTAAAGGGGGACCTATTTATGGTGACAGACAGAAGCTAGACTTGCTGGTGAACAACACAAGGCAGCCTATACAAAAGTCGAAATATAATGATGTACACTTGAAATTAATATAACGTTCTAAACCAATGTGACCTCAATAAGATAAATTTTTAAAAATTAAAAAAAAAAAAATAAAAGGAAACTCAGCCCGTCAGGAAAACCAAACCAAAACAAAACAAAAAAACAGAAAGAAAGCTCAGCTGTTCCCACCACGACAAATGACCGATTCAGAGGATTCAACCCATCGCTCTGGCTTAACATCCAGATATGACAAACCATCGAGGGAAACGTATGTATCATTTTAGAACAACGTTACGCAAAATGGGAGTGGGCGGAGGTGTTTCTATAAACATAAAAATCAGGAGGAGAAATCATTTTTTAAAAAACAACTTTGCACTTGGAAACAAAGTCATGGAGTTCTGACTCTCCTTTAATGACACAGACCTGTAGCATAAATCTTTGACTTCTCCCTTAAAATTTAAATCCCCAAATGCCATGATGTCTTTCTTTGGGACGTGGGATTTGATTCCCTATTTCTATTCCGGATGCCAGCACCTAGTTTGGATCCTTTTCACCTCACACTAACATTTCAGAAGCCTAACATTCGAGCACTGTCAAGAAATTCTCTTTATTGTCTTCGGTTAGTATCATTGAAATACTGCTTTCTTGACTGTTTTCTCAGAAGCCTTCCAGAAAACCCTCAGAATTCCAATCTAATTATCCTAAGAACCAGAAAACATTTTCTCTAAAATGGATCTCCAGAGCTATTAGGAATGGAATCCTATGTTGCCAAAAGACTTAATTACATGTTGGCTATAAGTGGTAAAATTTGCCTTGTCAGTCTACACAGGTACCTGTAACCACTACTCTGAGCTCTTTAGCTGAGCATTCAAAGACCCTCAAAACAAAGTGAATTCAATAAATATTTTAGGAGTATTTACCATCATAGGACACAAATATTCTCCCTATGAAAATGCATCTTGGGGCTGGCCCCGTGGCCGAGTGGTTAAGTTCGCGCGCTCCGCTGCAGGCGGCCCAGTGTTTCGTTGGTTCGAATCCTGGGCGCGGACATGGCACTGCTCATCAGACCACGCTGAGGCAGCGTCCCACATGCCACAACTAGAAGAACCCACAACGAAGAATACACAACTATGTACCAGGGGGCTTTGGGGAGAAAAAGGAAAAAATAAAATCTTTGAAAAAAAAAAAAAAAAGAAAATGCATCTTACCTTTTCCTGCCTTACTTCCTATCCTTTCTACCTGAAAGGCCTTACACATCCTTCATCCACTTAAATGCTCATCCTTAAAAATGCAACTTGAATTACAGTTACTCCATGAAGTCACCTCTTACTATTCCAGCTCAAAGTGTTATCTCTCTTCACCCTCTGACAGCAGTTAAAATGTACATAGTTTAGTTGACTTCACAATCTACCTTCTATTGTTAACAGCTAAGTATCGCCTATCTCCAAATCAGAATATTATCTTCTCAGGGTTAAGGATTAAGTATTAAATCTCCATCCACAGTCACTGCACCTTCCGCAAAGAACTCCCTCAATATACTGAGTGACTGATACTAAATTATTCAATAAGAACTTTACTCCTTCCTTTACATCTTAGTAGAATATTCAAAGCTTATAGATTTGTTTTCAGGTACAAAAGATACAACACATTTATAAAATAATAATTGTATGCCACTGATAATGTTAGGCATTCAATAACGCTGAACAAGTATTATGGAGCATCTCCCATGCACCAGGAACCACAGGCCCTACGGATGCAGCGACGAACAGACAACGCCCTGCTCTCAGGGGGTTCACACTCTGGCGGAGAAGGCAGAAAATAAAGCAATGAATCCAGCAAAAAGTGCTAGGGAGAGCCTACCTTTCTAGGCTCCTCCTGTCAGGAGCCACTTAACATGATACACTATGCACCATCTCCTGCCTCCTCATGATACACTATGCACCATCTCCTGCATCCTCATGATACACTATGCACGATCTCCTGCCTCCTCATGATACACTATGAGCGATCTCCTGCATCCTCATGATACACTATGCACGATCTCCTGCCTCCTCATGATACACTATGCACGATCTCCTGCCTCCTCATGATACACTATGAGCGATCTCCTGCCTCCTCATGATACACTATGCACGATCTCCTGCCTCCTCATGATACACTATGAGCGATCTCCTGCATCCTCATGATACACTATGCACCATCTCCTGCATCCTCATGATACACTATGCACGATCTCCTGCCTCCTCATGATACACTATGAGCGATCTCCTGCATCCTCATGATACACTATGCACCATCTCCTGCATCCTCATGATACACTATGCACCATCTCCTGCCTCCTCATGATACACTATGCACCATCTCCTGCCTCCTCACAAACTCTACCAGGTAGGTAGATATAGAAATTAAGTCATTTGAACAGATTTCTTAGTGGAAGAGAAATGTCTCAAACACTTACTTGTTTGAATTACTGTGCTAAATTATTTACATGCATTTCTACTTTGGAAAACATTATAACTAAGATAAGAAGACTTGTATAATTCAGTATTTTAAAACAACAAAGTAAAAGTTATGTGATACTGAGTAAGAAAACACTGAAGAAAATATTTTTTATAACTGACTTTTCTCTATAATAAAGAGGAAGTGGTTTGTGGAAGCTTTAATGACTAACATTTTCCTTTGATAAAGTTCATATAGGTGCCACTGCTATTAATTGTAGAATTCGGGAAATATCAAAATATCAATTTCTCACATACTTTAATAGGAAATATAAAGGGATCAGAACTTAACATCACATTAATTATATAGAATAAAAATTTATAACATATAAAAAGGTGCAAGAAGAGAATGCTTTAATTTAAAATGTTACATGTTACTCTTGAAGATTTCAGGACTATAAGTTTTTGATTAAGAAGGGAAACACTTCCTAGTTTCCTAAAAATACACTATATACCATTCCTACAAAAATACAATTATCATTGTTTAAGTAGACCCTCAGAAAAAGTTTTCTCCCATAACTAGTATATTTCCAACTTTAACTTAAATGGCTAAATATTAAGTCATTTATGTAGTTTAAGTAAATCTTGAAACTGTTAGGAGATTGATTTCTCTTTCCTTTTAATAACAGAAACTGTATTGAGAATATGCCTTTCTTCTCCTAGAAACCATATCACCATTTTCCGTGATATCAGGAAAAGAAAGTTTAACGTGAACTAATTTCTTGAGTGGTAAGTGTGGCATTACCAGCAAGGATACCGCAGCAGGGGGGCTAAAAGAGCACATGCCCCTCAGGACCAGCCAGCATCTGGAGCGCACCTGTGAGGCGCACTTCTGCAGAGCGGCCAGCAGATGGCGCGCGCGCACTGCGCACAGACGCACAGCCCGGAGAGCAGCGGCGGGCGCGACGCAGACGCCTTCTCCCCGAAGGCCGGCTGCTTTCCTCTGAAAAAAGGTCTTAACGTTGAGTTATTTTACAGGGAATTAGGAGGATTATCCTTTGACGAGAAAATTAACGAAAACATGGTCAATCTCAGTTGTCAAATTATTTATGATCAAGTGTCAAAAAAAATACCTTGAGGATTCTGACACTCCTCTTAAATTATATGACTTGGCATTTCTACCTCAAAATTATTATAAATAGGAAGTGATTTTGATGATAAGTAAGCATTATTATAAAAGAAAAAAAGATAAAAAGAAAACAATTTCTGTAACACAAAATCAGCAAAAGACTTTAAAATCTCTTACAAGAAGTCAGTTTGTTTTCTCTTGATTGTCTTACTCACAATATGCCAGCGATATCTCCTGACGTGTTCCAGGGAAATACACACATTAGACAGCACCAACAGTTCCAAACGAGAATCAGGAAGTCAGGACGTCCCGCTGTGATCTACGTGCAGATCAGTCAGCGCGGGAACCACGTTCCTTAGCCTCCTTCCCTGAGAAGCTCCAGGAGCTGCCCCGGACGGCGAGCGCGGCGTTCCGCGGTGCCACCAGGCACGGTGCCACCAGGCAGGCCTCCGCCAGGGCGTCAGCTTGCACTGGGACGTTCTGGCAGGTGACAGACACTCAAGTTTTCCTAAAATTGTTTCTTTTTAACACTTAATACTGCATTACTACGTTATGAGAGGTCA